TTCCTGCTGTCACACTCGATCATCCCCTAAAAGTTCTCGAAATTCAAGCTACCGTAACTCCGTCAAAAAATAAGCACTCAGTGATCTGCCTACGCTCGTTCTAAAGGGTGAAACCTCTTCTTTCGAAATGTCTAACTGTTTTTTTTTCTATCCACGTTTCCTTCGCGTAATACTTCGCAAAGAAACCGGGGCCATTTCGCTGACAAACTAAAAATTGTCTTTCGCTCGTCAAAGTTTCCGGTCTTTCACTTTTTGGCTTTCGGCTCGCGTTAATGGTAAGGCCGCGACTTAACGGAATAACGAGAGCCGGCATCCTCCCCTGGAACGAAGGACGGGGTAGGCGAGGGACGGATGGCGAGGGGCTGAATCGCGGGGGTGGTACCGGTGCGATGCAAACGCGGCGGCCCGCTCGAGGCAGCCTCGGGATTTTGATAACATGTGACTTTATCTGGAATTCCAGGGCGCGCAGGTAGCCTGTTTACTTAAGATAATAGCGAAGCGGAGTGGCTGGCTGAGCGTGGCTGCGAAGGTGGGGTAAGGCGAAAGGATATTTCAACGGGGAACGAGGAAAGATCCTGCGCGAGGAGAATTACTCGACCGGGATGGGATAGATCTCCGAGAGAAGGAAGGCTGGGTCTCCACTTGAATGAGTTTTAGCGAGCCTGTTAGGCGAGCCTGATTTTTTTCACCTTTCACCTGAACGGAGCACCTGTGTCGGCCAAATAGACACGGTAGACGCGGAGTCACTGTTCCACTTACGACTCCGGCGATCGAATTATTTTTTCCTGCCTCCAATTTTCGACGTAAAATTTCGAAAAAAATCGACGATGCAGAGGAAACATGCACCTATCACCTGCATTTTATTTCATTCGAATATCTTTTATATCGACCGAGATAAAGAGCGACGAAGTTAGGGGTGGTTTTTACAAGAAGAGATTTTTCGAAACTAACCTTGCGGAACAAATTATTTTTTCCTGTCTGTAATGTAAGATCTAAAATTTGGAAAAAAATCGACGAAATAGAGGAATCACGTAGCTATAATGTGCCTTTTCGTTCGCTCGCGTATCTTTCATAGCAATTGAGAAAATGTATCATGTTTGAGGCTTTCCTTGCTGGAGAGTAGACGTTTTCGCTGGAGTTGCGGAACTTTCCGAAATATTATTCAGGCTACTCACGGGATAATTCTATGGTCGAACGAGTACAGTTGTGAAAGTAGGTGATCTCTGAAAATGGTATTCGCATGTCCGCAGTTTGCCTTGCTGTCTCGATCTAGGGTATTTGTGCGAAGGTGCCACGCGAAGCGCTTCCCTTTATTCACTTAGTCTGCAGGGAGTCGTCAAGTACAAGCTAAATACTACTACTTCGAGAATGAAATTTCACATCGGAGACTGTCAGACACTATTACGTATCATAATTCCCTCGACCCCTGGCAGGGCCTCTTGAAAGCGCTTTTTGAGCGAAGACGCGACCCTCCAATAACTATACAGTTATACGAAGTATTACTGCGCCGTTAGGGGACGTGAAATCATTTTTCGAATCTTCACGCTACAAATTGTTTCTGTATATTACTTATCGCAACGAACAATCTCCATTATTAGATCTGGTAATCCTCTGGTGCAAGGCACAATTGAAATTAAATTTTGTAACGGTACACGTTGATCTACATAAAAAACAAGTTACGGATTATAAAAGCAGAAGATTCGATCTTTAAAATGAGCTAAGGTACACCCTGCTCTCATTTTTTTTTGCGAAATAGCATTAGTTTAAACATCGGCGATCTCTATCCAACGATTTACAAATCCTCCAATACAAGCCGTAATAACAATTTACTTTTCGAACGGTAAAATTAGCGTAGACTAAAAACAAATTAGTGAAATATAAACTAGAATGTTCAGCCTTTAAAACAAGCATAAGCAGATGGTGCTCTGATTTTTTTCCAAAAAGTTACAACAATTTAAACATCAACAATCTCAATCCTCAGATTTAGAAATGCTTCGTGTCGAAGCGTAAGAACAATTTAATTTCCTAATGTTAAAATGATCGTAGGCTAAAATAAATTAGTGGAACGTAAACTAGAGATTTCACCCTTCAAAACAAGCCTGGATGCCTGCTGCTGCGATTTTTTCCCCCGATGTTATGATTTTTCCAATTTACCAACCCCTAAATCCGTAAAAATTCGCTGGTTCTGCTAAAAAATGATCGCAGTCAACGACGCCACGGTATCGAACGTTCGGAACGATATCGATACAAAGTCCTCGAAGATTCAACGGTATCGTAGCCGCAGCTTCAGAGAAAAGGAAGAAGAGGGTAGCTGCAGGGTAGCTGGAGGGTTGCTTGGCCGCAGCTCAGCGCCGGAAGAGGCTAAGGGTAAGAGCGGAAGAGTGAAATAGACGGGGTGAGATTCTCTCTCCGGGCCGGGGGTACAAGAACTTCATTTTCCGAGCCATTACACCCCGTGCCACCCTGCTATCCGGCAAACCCCTTTACCCCTTTAAATTAATTTATATCGAAATTTTAAATGACATTCATCGAGCCGAACAATAAATAACACTACCGGCCCGGGGAAACGGCACCGCGTTAGTGACGTCGACCCAGCTTTTTCACAGGGCCACTGTTATGCCCTGAATTTCCAGCCCCTCCGTTCCAACCCCTTGCACCCCTCGGGCGAAAATTCCTGCGAAAATTGCAGGGACGAGTTTGTTAATGCACGGTCGATACCTTGCGTCGACTCTCTGCGATTGTCTTTCCTATTCTCACTCCTTAAGTCAACCCACGTTTTCACTGAATCAACAATTTGTCGTCAATAATCCCAGTGACGATATTTTTATTCATGAAAGTAATCGATATTTTCGGTGAAATGATTTTATAAATGAACAGAAATTTATTTTGTTACTTTTATTGTACTCATTGGCAATTTATTTATTTCAGTTGAGATGAAAATAAGAAAATTGTTGCATTAATTTATAACAATTCTGGTAAGATCGGGAAACGTTTGCGTCACGTTTGAATTCGTGTAAGATGAATATTCTAAATTCAATCTATTCGTTAGTTTGTTTATTTGATTACTAGTGATGAAACTGTTGCATCAGTTCATGACTATTCATACTATCTTTACATATTTTTTAAATATTTTTAAGGATAGAAGTAGACAAGCTTTGCATCATTTAGATAATAAAGATGATTTGCATATTTGCAAATATAGTTGAGCGAAACGGAATGAGAAGGCAATTTCAACGAACTCTGGTATAGCCCATAAATAATTAGTCATTCAGTTTAACTAACTGTTGTTGACATTTATACGCTGATAAGTAATTGATAATGTTGTTACGCATATTATGTAGTTATAGATTTTAGCTATTTTGCAGACTCATGTATGTTTTAGATACTTCATTGACGACCATGCAGAGAGAGAAGAAATTATTTCACCATAATTAAATATAATTTAGCGAGCTATATCATTTTATCAACAATTTTATATAATTACAGTTTCACCAATATTTCTACTCAATTATATTTTTATCCACATTTTTATTCAATTATACTTTTACTAATCATTTTATTCCGTTATATTCTTATCTAATTATGCTCTTAATTATGCTCACACGAACATTTTTATTAAAAATAAATTACTCGGAATAACCGATCATTATTACTGTTATTATTATCTGTTAATAAAGATGCTTAGGATTGATCAGGAGGACCGACAGCCGAACATCCGACGCCGGATTATTTTTGTTTGATTTCTTGCTTGATAAAATTGTCTGATAAGAAATATATATAAATATATTTCTTATCAGATAATTTTATCTGGTATCTGTGAAACGGTTCTAACGATCGAGCCAACATCACAAAAATATTTTGCGCGTGCTACACCTCCCCCCCCTTTTCTTCTTCATTATAAATTAAATTACTCTTCTTTGCGCAGTTCAATTAATACTGCGCTTATTCTTTTCTTTATATACGTAGTTCTACAGCGTTTAGTTAGAATCGATTGTAAATAGATTAATTGCATCGTTACGTGCAAATACTTGACTTAGGGATGGTCGATGGGATTTCTATTCAACACCCTCGCAACAAAGGGAATTTCACCGCGTCGCGTAGTCGTGCTCCAGCGATATGAAGAACTTCATGCAGTGCTTTTCAAACAACATAAGTGGAAACGTTCAAACAGATAGTGGACATGATAAGAGCACTCTAGAAATTACGATCTATCTAATCTAATCATCTACGCTTAAACTTTCTGTCTGAGGGGTCACGGATGAGACTGCGGCCGTAACCTTCGCAATCAGAATGATTACGATAACCAACAGTGACAAACGAGACTACATTCAAATTATTTACAAAACAGAGGCAACATACGTCAGAATACAAATGATGCATATTTAACATCTTCTCCACAGAAAAAATTTCAAATGTAAATGATCAACGACATTATTAAACAGCACAATATGAACAATAAAGAAGCTCGAGATAAATAATTTTACAATTGTATAATAACACAAAAATTATGTTATTATTAATTGTAATCTAAAAATTATGTTATTATTAATTGTAATATAAAAATTATATTATTAATTACCATGTACAAATTATATTATTAATTATAACGTAGAAATTGCATTATTAATTATGATATAAAAATGATAATTTTACATATTTGACACATGAAGAATATTGCACGTTTACTAAACGACTAACTAATATTCTTCTAGTGCAAATGTCACCAGCAGACAGATTAGATTAGTCTCAGGGGATTATTCGACACAAACCGATTCGTGTCAAACCGAACTATAATTTCGTTCGTGCAACAATAAATTAATCACAGTTAAACAAATAAATTTGATCGTCACGAATTCAATTTGAATGAACAAATTGCGAGCTGCACTAATTCGATTCGGATAAAGAAATTCGAGCTTCGCAAATTGAATTGAATAACATTACAGAATCTTCGATAAATTCGCTCGAATTTCAAGAAATATAAAGTTGTCATAGACTCTTACAATGCCTGTCTCCTGGCCGTCTGCAAGTCAGCTGGTATCAGTGTGATAAACGATGCACGGTGGCTCGTACTTTTCCAGCGCAGCTCTCGCGAGTGTATGCGCCATCGATTGTCAACGAATACTAAAGGAACTATAAACGATTACGCAATGCTCGCGGCCTCACTCATAAGCTCGTACTGTTTCCCCTCACCACGATCACGTGACCTTTCATCAAACGTATCTACGAAAGTGCTATATATCTGGTAGGAATTGTTGCGAATAATCATTACAGACATAAATCGTAAGTACAACTTGGGGATAAGATCGGCGGATTTTTAATGGCGCAATATTTTCTTAGGCGAGCGTGCTCGAGCCGAAAAGTGCGGCGAATTCAATCCGACAATGAATGCAGGTTTTCTCGGCGAATTCTTCGCATATATACATATCGATTACGTTGAATAATCGGACTTTTTACTATCCCCCTCGATCTCTTTCACGCTCGAATAACGCGAAATCGTTCATTGCGCTGCCGCCGCGTCGCGCCGGTCCATTTGAAAAACTTCAGAAGATAATTTCGTCGACGGTGTCGAGTAGGCTTCTATTGTTTCTTTAACCATTTATTGCATAACATTATTGCCGATAATATTAACAAATTACACTCGATTTCTGGCACGAAAGTTTTAGGAGAGCGTTCGATGTAATATTTCCTCGAGCAAAAGTACGGGACCGGAGACCAAAAGCGCTTACGCTTTTCGAAACTAGAGACTTTTCCCATTGAAACGAGCGTAAGTGAATTGGCGTGCGATTTTTTTCCACGAAATTACAGTACCTTGAACGTTAACAATTTCCGAACAGATTTTGATCTGAAGCAACGACGCACGCGTCAATAAAACATTTTCTACTGTGAAAATACGGTTTTAAAAATAAAAAACACGTACGGTTCTCGAAACTAGAATCTTCTCTTTTTAAAATGAGCTTAGACACATTGCTCTACCATTTTTTCCCACGAAGTTACATCACGTCAAACATCAACAATCTTCAAACCCAATTCTAGCGCCTCTCGAATGCGAATCATCGACGCATACCGCGCTATAAAATTTTCTCCCACCAAAACGCATCGCCAAAAGTCAAAAAAACTTACATCAATCGAAACTAGACACTCCACCCTTTAAAACGAGGTTACTTGAACCGCCATAAAATGTTTGTCCCGCGAAGCTACGGCATCTCAAAGATCGTCGAACCAAATCAACCCTCTGATCGTCTCCATCCGATAGTAATCAACTCTAAATACAAACCCTCTTCGAAATACGTTTCCACCCCTATCGCACACACACCTGGCCTAAGAAGAGCGTGTAATTCTTTCAACGGAGGGTGGCACGGCGGCCATGGAGGTCGCAGTTGTACTGTAAATCTCGAAGTTCGTCGTCGGCGCTAATTCGAAGTTTGGCGCAGTTGCTGCAGCGCTCTATAGCCTCGCTAGGCGTATACACACGAGCACCGACGGCAGAGAATCGAATACAGGGAAAGGAAAGTACGAGCCGTGAATCCCACGTACAAACACTGTGTTATCCATAGAAGCCAGACCGAAGTAAAACGGGGGTCAGGGGTTCGTGTCTTTGAACGGAGTTTCCCTTCGGCTGCGAATAATTGCCCGGAATGATGGCGACGAGGGGGTGGCTGGCGATATCGAGGGGATGGCTCGAACAGCAAGCGGAATTCCACGATCTGGCTCGGCCTCGAGAACTAACGGCTACGCCGGGTATACTTTTACATAGATCTTCGAAAGTATCCGATCATTTTGTCAAGGAACCACTCTGATTTCAAGCGACGAGGAGGCACGATTTTTGGGAATTTATTCTGGACGATATAGCGAACCGATCTTTTTCACGGTTTTAGGCTATTTTGGCACGCTATCGGAGAGACTAAATGTATTTTTTTTAGACAAGCTTAGTCATGCACGAGAGAGTTATAATAGGTTATGTGCAACCCGGCTAAAACCGATAGGTGGCAGTCTGATGTAATTTGTCGAAGATAGGTGACTTTTGGGAATTTATTCTGGACGATTTAGCGAACCGACCTTTTTCACATTTTTTGGCTATTTTGGCACGCTATCGGAGAGACTAAATGTATTTTTTTAAAACAAATTTAGTCATGCACGAGAGAGTTATAATAGGTTATGTGCAACGCGGCTAAAACCGATAGGTGGCAGTCTGATGTAATTTGTCGAAGATGGGTGACTTTTGGAATTAATTCTGGACGATCCAGCGAACCGATCTTTCTCACATTTTTAGGCTATTTTTGCACGCTATCGAAGAGACTAAATGTATTTTTGTTAGACAAGTTTAGTCATGCACGAGAGAGTTATAATAGGTTATGTGCAACGCGGCTAAAACCGATAGGTGGCAGTCTGATGTAATTTGTCGAAGATGGGTGACTTTTGGAATTAATTCTGGACGATCCAGCGAACCGATCTTTCTCACATTTTTAGGCTATTTTTGCACGCTATCGAAGAGACTAAATGTATTTTTGTTAGACAAGTTTAGTCATGCACGAGAGAGTTATAATAGGTTATGTGCAACGCGGCTAAAACCGATAGGTGGCAGTCTGATGTAATTTGTCGAAGATGGGTGACTTTTGGGAATTAATTCTGGACGATCCAGCGAACAAATCTTCTTGAAATTTTCAGGCTATTTTACTACATTATCGATGCAACTACCTGTATTTTTTAAGCAAAAAGTATCGCACAGAAAAAAGTTCTAATGACGAACGTGAAGACCGTCGTCTAAAACCGACAGGAATTAGGCTGACGTAAATCGTTAAAGATGAACGATCTTCGTGGATTCATTTTCATCGATCTTCTCGAAATCTTTCTGCTTTTTTCCAAAACATCCAATCCATCGACAGCGTCGACGTTGCGTTACGCGTTCGAAAAACCGGTATCGCCGAAACGTGAACTGCCTCATTAAGAAGTTCTCCATTCAGACGCGTGTAATGAAGACGCATTACAAAGCGACTTCATTGCGAGATAAGCCTCGTCGATAACCCGAAAGCTGCGAAGTTTCTGACCTCGACTCTGTTTCCCTTTCCAGCCTATTTAACCGGCTTTCTCCGTCGCTTAAGTTGCGATCGTTGTTCCAAGTTTAATCTGTCCTTTATGCGCGACATCCAACAGACTTGCACCTTCGCCCTTAAATCCTTTTCTGCGAGATCGAATGCAATCTAACTTTGTTGCGAACGCTCTTTGACCAAAAACTTTCCAGCAAAAATACGGTGCCGCACGGCACAATGAGCCACTTTGCAGATCCAAACGCTTCGTACATTTAAGGATGTACAGGCTGTTCGGCAAGCCTTTGGAACACCAGTTCGCTACAGTTCTAACTGACCGGAAAAAATATGCTTAGCTACACGGACGAGGCAGCAAAATAGCCTAGAATATCTCGAAATGATCGGCGCAGCGCGGCGTCCAGAATAAATTCCCGAAAATCGTACAACTCGAACGGTCCGTAGCAGATTTCCACCGGTCTGCTTCAGCCTTCGCATAAAGTATTATAACTCTTTCATACATAATTCTATCAGCTCAACAAAAATATAATTAGTTGCATCGATAGCGAGACAAGCTAGCCTGAAAATGTCAAGAAGATTCCTTTGGTAGATCGTCCAAAATAAATTCCCAAGAATCGTCTATCCTGCTTTCGATTTGCTTCGACGTCTGACTTCGCATAAATAATTACAACTTCCTCGCGCACAATTCAATCTGGTTAAATAAAATACAGTTAACTACTTCGACGGTGTACCGAAACAGCCTAAAAATTTCAGGAGGATCGGCTCGGGCGATCGTCCGGAATAAATTCCGGAAGATCGATCCGACGGATTTTTTCGCGAAGGAACGAGCGACTACCATAATCGAGTTTTCGGATCGCTCGATCGTCCGTCCCTGGCCGGAAGGTGGATCAGCGTGGGAGTAGTTGATGCCAAGAGTATTTGAAATACTCCGCGGTCCGGGGTGAAGTATGCCACGGGTATCAGAGGTTTGTGGGCTGTAACAAAGCAGGCCCGGAGGGCACCACGGGTACACATACAGCCCTGGCATTCGCCGGGCTAGCGACGAGAAGCCCGAATACTCGCCGGCAGTCCTGAAAACTTCCTCATAAACGGCTATTTGCGTTCAAGGAATTGGGACACGGGCACACCGTGAGAATTTTATTCCCACCGTGGGATCCGCGCGCTAACGGCCGCGCCGCGGAAAGTTATTCGCCGGGTCCACGGCGGTTGTTTATCCTTGCCGGACAACTGACCGATTATACTTCGAGGTGTGCTCCGCGAAATGAGTGTGCTCTGCCGCTTCATGCTTCTCGTAAAGCCGAGCTTATCATCCCTTCGCTAAATTTAATGCTTCGCCAGGAATTTTCGTTTTCGTTTCGACGGTGCCCGCTTAGATATTCCGGGCTCTCGCAGGAGAAGCGCGAGAACGACGCGGCTTGCTTCGTTTTTAAGCCTCGGATCTCTACATCGACGGCCGCTATATCTTATATTTTGTTTTAAACATTCTTCTCTTGTGAACGATTTATTGAAAACGGAGGCATTTTTTCGAATTTGTGGAATTATTAGCGGTTGGACAGACTTTCGTTTTTAGTTCAATACGAGTCGACAAAATTTTTTGATTACAAGATACATTTGGGATCGTTAAAGTAGACACTTTGAGCTTCAAAATGAGCTAATGTAGATGGTTCTACGATTTTTTTTCACAGATTAACAACAGATCAAATTTGGCATCCCTTAAAGTTCCAAGATTTTCGAGATAGAAATACTCCCCGCTCTCTCATTCGTTTTTCATAGTTCAGAAGCATTCTAAATAAGAAATATCGAAAGGATCGTTAAAGTAGAGACTTCAAGCTTCAAAATGAGCTAATGTAGATGGTTCTACGATTTTTTTTCACAGATTTACAACAGATCCAATTTAGCATCCCTTAAAATTCCAAGATTTTCGAGATAGAAATACTCTCCGCACTATCATTTGTTTTTCATAGCGCAGAAGCATCCTAAATAAAAAATGTCATAAGAGTCGTTAAAGTAGAGACATCGGGCTATAAAATGAGCTAAGGTAGATCAACCTACGATTTTTTCTTGCAGAATTACAATTTTTCGAACAACAGGT